CTGCCTTTTATGGAAAAAAGTCGAATCTATTTTAGGACTTTCTGGGAGATGGCAAACGGTCATTCCAAGTGTTGGTTCCTTGTTTCGAATCCGAGTCAATTCCCGATGAGCAAAAACGGAAAAGCGATGAGTTTGCGCGACTGCCAAAAGAGGTTTATTTTCATTCATTTGCAAGTTATTTTTCATATAAATCGTGATAGTACCTTCATGAGAGCTAACAAAATGTTTATCAGGAATATAGGGTATACAAAATTACTTTCACGTCGAACGGGGATAGGAATGTACGGCGACTGTCGTTGTTGTTATTTCATATTCCCCTCTCGCAACTACTAGGGAACAGAATTTTGGGAAGAGCGTAAGTAATCCCAAGTTTCCATTTTTTGCAGGAACGCTATTGGCTGGAAGAAACTTGTATGCTAGAGGGATCTATTCGTTACGGGATTGAAGCAGTGGCCAATCTGGCAATGGATGGACAGCGAGGACAGCGCTCATTCCGTATGGTGAATGATCTCCCCATATCATCGCTACTTGGAGTGAGCAAGAAGACGTTCAAAGTTGACGTGGCGGAGGTGCTTTCGGAAGCAAGATCGAGGGAAATACCCCGCCTGAGGTAATATTTTGACATTTCAGTATTCTTGAGTAATAATCTGTAGTTCGGAGTGAGGTCTCGACGTTTTTATTTATTCAACGCTTACATAACCAGCAAAAAATCATCGACTTCATTTGCATGGTTGGGCTGCCATACCATATTTATTCAAAAGCTGAATTTGATCCAGTCCAATCGCGTAGTTGTCTAGAAGACCATCAACGACAAAATGTACCTTAATTTTCCGTTGAAAATAATTAGGTTTCGAAGATGGGTTACTTACCACATGTGCACTTGATGTCAATGGTACATGGTAGTTTTTCCATCTGCGAGCTTTCACATCTATCGTGCTACCTTTTATGGTAAGAGCACATTCGTTGATCGTATTTATGCACACCTGCAGCCGTCCTTTTACACCTGAAGAAATGCCAATTTAATGGGACCAGTTTTTATCTAAAAGACTCGCTTTTTAGTAAAGCTTCTTAGACAAGAAGCAGCTTTGAAATATCACAGGGTAAAATTATTT